AGGGTCTAGACCCGAAACATCAGCTTTCCTGCTCTTCTGATGCTGCTTGGCCTACTGTGTTCACCCAGCTCTACACTTTGTTATATCAGATTCTCCAGCATCGGCAGTTCCTACTATCTCTTTTCATAATCTTGACTGTTTCAATGAGATCACCTCTCATTCTTCCAAAGTCCTGGGAATATAGATCCAATTTACACAGCTGTTCATCGTAAGCCAACCCTCTCATTCCAGGGACAAAGGTGGTGAACCTTTTGCTGTACTGCTGTCAATGCAAGTAAACAGAGAGCCAGAAAATATACAAAGTACTCAGGCTGTGGTCTCACCAAACCTTGTATAATTGTAGTCAGAATTCTTTATTCTTCTATTTATCCTTCCAGTTTGCACCAGCCTTCCTGAGTCCATGTCTCTGTTATTCACTCATCTAATCTTTCTTCTCCTTCAACTGTTTTTATTCTCAATTTCTCCTTCAGTTGTTGCCAGGACAAGACTGTCATGTTTTCATTTACAATGTTCTTGCATGACTATCTTCCTCTCTCTAACTACTAAGGCTTACTTAGCTGCTCTTCTGATTTCTGAACTTATTCATTTGTATTTCTATTCAACCAGCTGAGTCTGAGCATCCTTTGCCAGACACATTGGACACATAGCAACCTCCATAGGTCCATAGATATGATAATGATCTATTTCTGTAATAGTCGTAAAGAGATTAATATTAGATAGGACACTGCGGAAATGCCCGCTCTCCCTTAAAATACCAGCCATGGTATCTTTTATGTCACCTGAGAGCAGACAGGGCCAAAGTTTAAAATGTAATAAGAAAGACAGCACCACTGACAGTGCAGAACTCCCTCAGTATAGCTCTCCCTCAGCATTGCACTGGAAAATCAACTTACATTTTGAGTTCAAGTCTCTGGTGTGTAGCTTAAACGTATAACCTTCTGACATCAAGGAGAGAGTGCTACCAATGAACCATAGCTGACACCAATGACAAATGACAATTCTAGACTGCTTCCAACTGTAAAAACATCTAGTACAGTCACTAGTATGGACTGTTGCATCTATGGAGGCAAGAGTTGGTCTCTAAATAAAGAAGATGAGAATATCATTTTTTTGAAATGTGTATCTGGCAGCGGACGCTCAGATTCAGCTGGATGATTAGAAATGCAAATGAATTAGTTCAGGAATCAAAAAAGTGGCTATGTACAACCTTAGATAGAGAGAGGAAGAAAGCCAAGTTTAGACATTGTAAATGAAAACATGATAGTCTTGTCCTGGCAACAATTGAGGGACAAATTGAGAGTAAAAACAGTTGAAGAAGAAGAAAGATGAGATGAGTGAATAACATTGAGACATGGACTGAGGAAAGCTGGGGCAAACTGGGAGGATAAATACAATAAAGAAATACTGCTGCAATTGTACGGGAGTTTGCTGAAACCACAGCTTGTGGGACCATGTGATGCTCAAATGGGATGCTATATTTCCTACAATTGTGATTACACTGAAATATTTAACTTATCTGTAAAATACTTCAGGATTCCTTGACATCATGGGATGCACTAAACAAATGTCCCTATTTCTTTCAGTAGTTTGGGTGGATTCACTCCAATATCACATTATTTGAAAAGCATGTAAGAGGATCTTGTCATGCAGTCGTTTTTTTTTGCCTCTCAACCAGAAGTTCTGTCTACAAGTTCCCCCTGGAATAATGTATCCAATAAATTTATCAATACAGGTTAACTAAAAATAATTCAATCAGTAGTAGAGAGGAAAGAAAGGTGTTGAGCAACTGAATTGTATAGTGACAGACAAAGAAGGGGTGCTGGTAGCACTCCAGGTAGAGAAGTCACCAGGCCCAGATGGGATGCATCATAGATTTCTGAGAGAGGTAAAGAAGGTAATTGCAGAGCCATTCACAGAAATTTTCTAGGCGTCTCTGAACGCAGAATTAGTCCTGGGGGATTGGAGAATCGCAAATATGATACCATTGTTTAAAAAAATGGCAAAGGATAAGCCAGGAAACTACAGATCTGTCAGCTTGACTTCAATAGTACGAAACTGATGGAAGCCATAATATGGGGTAAGGTAAATATACACTTAGAGAAAAATAAGTTAATACTCAAGTTTTTAGGGTTTTAGACAGACAGATGAACAGGCAGGGGTATGGACCACTTGCGGGCAGATAGGATTAGTTTAGAATGGCATCATAGTCAGTGCAGACATCGTGAGCCAAAGGGCCTGTGCCTGTGTCGTACTGTTCTATGGTCTATGACAGTCAGCAGTGCTTTGTCAAGGGTAGGTCATGCCTGACAAATTTCATGATGATATGACACAGGCAGTGGATAAGGGTAGTGCTGTGGATGTTGGACTTTCAGAAAGAATTTTAATATGGTGTCAAATGGCAAGTTGGTGATAAAATTAGAATAGTTTGGGATTGATGTGTCCAGGGCAGCACGGATTAAAAGTTGGTAAAAAGATAGGAAATTGATGGTAGGTATAGATAGGCAAGTCTCAGGTTGAAGATGAGTTGAAAGTGATGTTCCCCAGAGATCTGTGTTGCGACCCTTGCTTTTTCTGATTTGTATAAAAATTTGGAGATGGGTGTTGAGGGCAAAATCTCTAAATTGCTGATGATATCAATCTAGGGAGAGTAGTGAATTGTGAGAATGACACTGAGTGACTTCAGAGGGACATTGATAAGTTGGCCAAATAGGCAGACACCTTGCAGATGAATTTCAATGCAGAGAACTGTGAAGTAGTTCATTTCAGTAGAACAAATGCAGAGAGCCAAGGCAGGCCCAATGATACAGCTTTGCAGAGAGTACAGAAATAAAGGGATCTTGGGCTTCACGTGCATGCATAATTCTCTGAGGGTGGCCAGGCAAGTAGAAACAGTTGTTAAGAAGATTTATAGCTCCTTGGGTTTACAAATAGAGGCAAAGAGTATAAAAAGAGAGGCCATTACCTCTACAAGTCATTGGTCAGACTGCATTTGGAGTATTGTGTTCAGTTCTGGGCACTTTATTTAAGGGAGGATGTTAAAGTCCTGGAGAGAGTGCAGAGGAGATTTACTAGAACGATAACAGGAATGAGGGATTTTAAATATGAGGAAAGATTAGAGAAATTAGAAACAAAAACAGAAATTGTTGGAAAAGCTCAGCAGGACTGACATCACCTGTGGACAGAAATCAGAGTTAGCATTTCAGGTTGAGTGACCCTTCCTCAGAACCCTTTCCCAGAGAAATTGAGCTTCCTCCTTGGAGCAGAGAGGATTAGGAGATGACCTTATTGACGTGTTCAAAATTATGAATAATTTTGACAGAGTAAAGAAGAACACTCTGTTTCCCCTAGTTTTAATGTCAATAACTACGGGTCACAAATTCAGGATTTTCAGCAAGAGAGTTGGTAGTGAGATGAGGAGAAAATTCTTCACTCAGGTAGTTGTTAGGATTTGAAATGCGCTGCTTGGGAGAGTGGTAGAGACGGATTCCATACAAGATTTCAAAAGAGAATTGGATATATATAGTTGAAAGTAATGAGTTTTGAGGGCTATAGAGTGGCTGGGTAGCTCTTCCGTGAGCTGGTACAGACACGATATGTCAAATAGTCTCCTTCTGTACTGTAAATTCTATTATTGTATAATTGTTCCAACTTTATGATATTAGTTTACTCTGTGATTTGGAAATTTACTACTTTTACAGAGTGACATTCTAATCAGAGAACCAAAGAATGATTGAGGCTGGAGGAAGCTATCATGTTTATGCTCTGTGTCCTTGAAAATTGAAGCAAACTTTGATATGCTGTTCTTAGTTCAATGATAAACATTAATTGATATAAAATTTGCATCTGGCAAACAATTCATTCAGGTTGAAATGTTCAAATTGTGTTTTGAATTGCTGCTTTTCTTTCTCATGGATGAGGCTCTCCTCTTCCAGCCTGGTTCAGTCAAGCGATTGTTTCTTCCACTTAGTAAAGCTATACAATATCTCATTGATAGGAAGCAAATGATGGAACAGATGAAATCGATGGCAGTGGGATATCCTTCACTCGCCAGAAGAGGAGCATCAGAGTCAGTGGAAAATTCATGCCTACCCTGGACTGGGAGAGAGTCGAGAGGAAGTACATGTCTAGGTCATTAGGTCATTCCTATCTTCCCAGACCAAGTCTGTCATTAGTCTCAGGGACGCAACTTCACAAACCAGCTGGAACCTCAATGACAGAAGAACAATGTGAGGACAGAAAATGTAATCAATATGGTGGTAACAGTCAAAAACAAGAAGAGAGCAGCATAGAAGGCTGGGAAACTAACAATGAGGAAAAAGATCAAGGCATATCTGTTTCAAAAATTGGGATTTCAAAGGAAACAATGGATGAACTGAAAGCCGTTCTAAAGGAGAGCCCTTTAATTACCGGCCGGCAAAAAGTGAACAATATAACTAGTTGTTCTGCCTCTGATTTAAATGTACAAAATCCTGAAGAGAAACCCGGAGAGGAAGAGGGCAAATCCTCCATCGCCTCAAAAGCACAATCCAGCAGCCCCAGAGAGCAGACAGCACAGAAATCAAGCAGGCAAGTTGCTGGAGATGAGCTGCTGAAAGAGGTCGTGGCTATTCCCAATACCCAAAATTCAGAGAACATCAAACCAATCGTTTTGAAAGCATCGGAGTTACCCAGCCATGTTGACAGTGGATTAGACTCAAAGCATGATCTAAGTTCATATGTTACAGGTTGGTACTTTGCTGGTGGTGTGTTACAATTCATTGAGGAAGTTCAAATTCATGGCAGTGTGCACCTTAATTCACATTTTGCAGCCATGCTAGAGATTTTACCATTGTTTTCATCACATGGCTGACTAGGAATCGCTCCCTTTGGCATAGGTTGAAATGATTTGCATGTAAATCCTCAACCTGTTTAGTCAAACCATGTGTGTGCCTTCCTTGATAAGTACTTCATGAACCCAGAGCTTCTAGATCAGAGGCAAAGGCTACCCATTGCAAACCTAGACTTCCATGTTGTTACAACCAGGGTTTGGGTGAGGTTTCCCCAATTTATTTTAGTTCTAGCGAGATGTCCTGACTTATCAAGCTCTTGGGTGAGGAGAGATGAAATAAGCACCCTGTCTTTATTCACCTACCCTCTCAGTTGATTATAACAAGGTAAATTTATAAAGGGTCCCTTTCCTTATGGATATATTTCTCTAAGACCAAATGAATTTGTGTTTTAAAAGGAGCTAATTTAACCAGGTTTTCTTGAATTCGGAAAAGAATGAATTTATTCGTTACTAAAACAATGACAAATAATAAAACAACACACATGCATATGCACAGATTAGGAACTAAAATTACAATCGAGAAGTTGAGTCGAAAAACGTATAGTTACAAGATATATGATTTATTCTCTGCATCACTTGTGAAGAGTAGAGTTAAATGTTGATATTTGAGTAGCTGGTTTTGAGATTCTTAGCTTAGCAGGTTGATTGAAATTCTTTTGCCCTGTTTTCTTTTGATTTATTGGCTATCTGGATTCTAGCACTCAGAGCGATAGACTCCTTTCCCTGCAATAAAGGGGTCACTAGTGGGTGGTTTTTCGAATATGATCTACACAGCACATTAGTGTTCGAATCCAGGATAGTACACATGTGTATCTCTATTCAATAGCAAACTCTCTTTCACTAGCTCGCACTGACCAGGACTGAACTGGTTTTTTACCCCCAGTCTGTTATATTCATGAGAGGTTAGACTCAAAACATATCTCTCAAGCAGAATACTGTCTTTTTTCCATGTTCACCATCTGAGATAACTTGCAAGAGATTATGGCTCACTTTGTAGTGCATTTTCAACCTTTTAAAGCTTCTGTGACACCTGTAGGTGTGACATTCCAGAATTCCTCTCCAAACAGCCACAGTCATTTTAGCTGTGTCAGTCCTATCTTAAAACTCATGTATTGGAATTTCAAAGTTTGTTATATTCCTAGGTGATCCGGGGTTATGAATTGAGGTTGTGACAGTGGTTAATACTTTACCCCTCTGTTAACCAGAAGCCAATTCAAACACAATGAAACATCTAAGGGGAGAATTTCCATGGAGATTTGCTGACCTCCACAACAGCCACAAACTATATTTAAATGATGACTTCACAGGACCATTAATAAACAAAATTTGAGACTGAATCGTAGAAGGAGAGATTAAGTTAGATGAATTTGGTCAAAGAGTTAGATTGTAAAAGAGGAGAGAGGTAGAAAGGTAAAGGGATTTTGGGAGGTAATTCCAGAAGATTTCTGCCTTGGCCTGTTGAGGATACAGCTGCCAATAGTAGGATAAAGAAAAAATTGAGGATGTAAAATACGTCACATTTGGCCAAGTGCAGATTTCTGGGAGACCTGTAGGGCTGGAGGAGATTACAGAGATAGGTTGGGGGGCTTGGAGGGTGGGCGGGGGGTGGTGGGGTGCAGGGGGAATGTGGTGGGAAGGGGGTTGTGGGCATAAGCCATGAAATGATGTATTCTGACATAGACTTAGGAGAAACCATGGAGAAATGTTGTTAAAAATCATTTGTCCCATTTCTCCACTTACAGGAGATGTCAATTTGTCCTTGACCAGAGTTGTCCAGCCTAAGCTTCAAAGAAAGTACTTAAAGCTGGCTGAGATAACTTCTTGCAAAAGGAACTTCACTTTCAAAATGAAGAGATGACCTTTTGGGTTTGGTGTGATCAGCCAATCAATTTTACAATAGTTTCAATCCCTTCAATTCCAGGCAATAGTTTCCGTGCAGCTATCAATTCCTTTAATTATTTTAAGCACTTCAAATAACATAACTCCTCCAACTGTTTTGCTGAAGGAAATATAACCTTAGTCTGTGCACTTAGGTGCTATTCCCCTCTTACAAATTGATGATTGGCAAACTTGGTATGAAGGAGATGTAAGGAGATGTGCTCATGGAGCAGTTCCTCGGAGACAACAGTTTGCCATGCTGATAACTGTGACAATAGATGGTACATTTTCATTTGAGTTCAGGAGGATGTGGGTTTCCACCCAGAAACCTAATCACAGAATCCAGACTGACAATCCAGTATTGTACAGAGATATGATTTGAGTCTGGGAGGATGTGGGTTCCCACCCAGAAACCTAATCACAGAATCCAGACTGACAATCCAGTATTGTATAGAGGTATGAGCTGTACATTGGAGATGCTGTCTTTTGGATAAGATATTAAGCCGAGGTCCTACCCCTGCAAGTATGAGAACATAAAAGCGCACCATATGTTATTTCAAAGAGAAGCAGACTTTTCAGCTCTCATCAATACATCCTATATCTCACAATTATTAAACAGATTAGTTGATTTTTTTCACATTGCTAGTTTGAGGGAGCTTGCTATGCATGATATGGTTGCTATTTTTCCTGAAAATTTCAACAATGACAACAACTGTTGATTGCAAAAGCACTTAAAGATGTTCAGTTATCATGAAATAGCCTCTATAAATGTTAAGAAGTTTCTCATGAATATAAACCTGTTGGACTCCATGACCTGTTCCCGCATTTTGCATTCTATTCAGTTCCATGTAATGTAGTAATCTCTTATTTTACAGTTAACATGAGAGACCTGACTATGATTAACAGTGTAACTCCCTCACAAACAAGTACCACTGTCGAGCAAGTGAAGCAACAGATCACAAGGGAAGACATACGATTTATCCGTTTTGAAGCAAGTGACTTTCATGGAATTTCAAGATCGAAAACTATTCCATCTCGTTTTTTTCAGGTATAGTGTGCCATTTGCCTTTAAGTGGATAATGTAACATGCTGATTACAGAAAGCCACAGGTAACAGAATCAATTGCCTTCCATCATCAGTAAACAATTTGTTGCAATTTCATTTTAATGGTAACAGACAAGCTTTGTTGTATAGCTTGATTTTATTGGAAGCATTCTTACCTCTGAGTGCAAATGCTGTGCAAAAATTCTATGTTTGGGTTGAGCGCAAAAACAAACCTACCCCAGTACAATATTATAAAATGTGTAAACTATCAAGTAATACACTAAACTCCGGTGCTAAAGTGGTGTTTAATTTCTCTGCATTTGATTATCTGAGTCTGGGTAATTGATCCATATTTATTGCGCTTGGTTGATTAAGGCAAAGTAACAGGCCTCATATATAGAGCTGGAAGCTGTTAGATGAGTGAAAGGATAGGCATTTTAAGGTTCGTTAAGAAGTAAATAAAGTTTAATAAGGTCTGTAAGTAAAGTTCCTGTACACTTAGAAACTACCATCATTTCTGCAAAGACAAATAGGTGCTGCAGAAAATCAGGTCTGGTAGCATCTGTAGAGAGTAGCAGAGTAGCTAGAGCAGAGTTAACATTTCAAGTCCAAAGACCCTTCTTCAGGAATGAAAATAGTTGAGGAGAGGTGGTATTTATGCTGAAGATGGGGTGGGGTGGAAGAGAATACAGTACAAAGAGATGGTGCCTAGGGAGAGAGAGAAAGAGAGAGACAGGTTAGGTAAACAAAGAGATCACTGATGATAAGCCAAGAGGGAGGTAATGGCTAGAGTGTGCTAACAAGAAGTGTAAATGGCGTAGCTATGTTGAGAGCAGGCTGCACAACAGGATTTGGGGGTTTGGGCAAAGGTAATGAATGAGGAAGGGAGAGTTCATGTTCAAAAATTGTTAAACTCAATATTGAGTCCTAAGGCTATAAAGTATCTAGCTTGTGTTGAGCCTCACTGGAGTACTTAAGAAGATTGGATACAGAATTGTTGGTATGGGAACATAGTGGTGTATACAGAGGGACGTGAATGTCCTGGTACATGAATCATAAAGAATTAGTATGCAGATATAGCAAGTAATTAGGAAGACAAGTGAAATGTTGGTGTTTATTTCAAGGGGGATGGAATAATAAAGTAAGGGAGTGTTGCTGCAACTGTACAGGGTATTGGTGGACCACATCTAGACTACTGTAGAGTTTTGTTTTTTTTTTAAATTTACAAATGGATATAGTTGCATTAGAAGTTCAGAGAAGGTTCACTTCATTCATTCCTGGGATAAATGGCTCATATTATGAAGAAAGACTGGATAGCTAGGGCCTATATCCACTGGAATTTATTAGAATGAGAAGTGATCTTCTCGTGATTAAACCATATAAAATCCTGTGGGGTCTTGATAGGGTCGATACATGGAGGATGTTTCCTCCTGTGAGGGACACTATAATTAAGAAATTTAAGAATGAGAGGTTGTGAAGATGAGGACAAAGATAAACTTTTACTGTCAGATCGTTGTTACTCTGTGGAATTCTCTTCTTCTTAAAACAATGGAGTCTGGACCATTGAAAAATTTCAAGGCTTTTTTGGATAGATTTTTGATAGAGGAGGGAGTCAAGGGTTGTGGAGTGCAGACAGGAATGTGGAGACGAGTCCTCAGCCAGGTCAGCTATGATCCTTTTGAATAGCAGAGCAGGCTGAGAGGGCAAAATGGCCTACGCCTGCTTCTAAATAATTTGTTCCTATGTTAACGCTAATCAATCGGCTTATCTTACTGGCATTTTCAAACAATCTATAAGGAACAACAGTCCTGATGTTTAACGCATTAACAGGTGTTAGCAAAGGGGGATTTCAGCATAATGGGCCTGATTTTTCAATGGTCAGATTGTCTTTATTCCAGTGCAGATGGGAATTGCTCATGGGGACTGTCCAGAATCCCAATTATAGCAGACATTGAAGAAAGCATCTGGCAAATTGAACTTTCTCCTGGGCAATTCCTCAATGCTTGGAACCCTTGAGAATCTCCATATAAATCAGAGACATCAGAAAGTTCTGATGAAATTAGGTAAAACAGTTACTCAGGAAAAGTTAAACTGTTAAATACATAGTCTAACTCCGAAGTAAATTTACCAACTGCATCTCCCCAGATCAGTTACATTGCCCAGAGCCTAATCCAACATCCTCACCACCACCTGCGGGAAATGCCCCTTCTCCATCCACCAGATCTAACCCAAAGCCCTTCTGCCCTGCACCCCACCTCCAGCCACCACCTGACTCTTCAACTGTATGATTGGAATGGATTTGTGGTCTAAATGGTCCATTCCTGTTCCTATGTGCTTACTTAAGCATTATTTCTCAGCAGGGTAAGGAAATGGTGTGTTTGGGGAAAGTGTTAGATGGTTGGGAAAGGGGTGAGCTGACTAGGGGAAGGAGGGTTATGGGGGAACTCAGAGGGTGTGCAGAATATGACTGAATGGCTGGACCATGAAGATGAATGGATTTTCTGGAGTGTGATTGAGCTCTGAGCATTAGGAATATGTGCATAGTATTGCCCAGCAGCAGAGTAAAGGACTGACATAAAACCCATTGTAGGAATAACATTTTGGGGTTCAGAAGAGATTTACCAGTTGCCAAGTATGGAAGGTTTGAGTTATAAAGAAGGGGTGGATAGGTTGGAACTTTTGTCATTAGAACATAGGAGGTTGAAAGGTGACATTCATGATTTTATAAACCTTCTATAAGGGTATAAATAGAGTTAATGGTAGGTGTCTTTTCCCTAACATGGGGATTTCAAGGCTAGGATACATATTTTTAACATGAGAAGACAGAGATTTTAAAAAAGAGATGAGTGTCAAAATTTTTGCACAGAGGGTGATTTGCATGTGGAATGAACTTCCTGAGGTGGTTGTGGATGTGGGCAAGCTTACGATGTTTAAAAGAGACTTTGCTAAGTACATGAATAGGAAAGGTTTGGAGGGATATGGGTGAGGAGCAGGCAGGTGGGACTGGTTTAATTTGGGATTATGTTCAGCATGGACTGGTTGAACTGAAGGGTCTGTTTCCATGCTATTTGACTCTATGACTTTATGACTCTATTGATCTAAAGAGAGTTCTGACCTAGTATTTCTTAGATTCTGAAAGAGTGCTGGGTTTAACTAGTTTATTGTCCAGACCCAATTAAATGAACTCCCTGTCCAGTTTGCCTGACAGGCTTATACAATGCTTTAACTTTTGCAGGGACTTAAAGACCAGGAATGTTGTTAGTATGTTCTAAACTGGTGACCCAAGTACTTATCTAAATCACCAACATGAAATTGCATGGAATTAACTTGGCCAAACATGTGCTTCTTATACAGGAGAAAGTGTTTCATGGGGTGCCTCTCCCAAGAGGTTATCTGGAAATAGCTTTGGACCCGAAGGAAAATGGAATGAATCATCCTAGTTTCAACAGTGACATACTCTTAATGCCCGATATCTCAACCTTCAGAATCCTCCCCTGGGCTGTCAAAACTGCAAGGATCATTTGTGATTCTTGCTCAATAACAGGAGGTCCTCTTCTGACATCCCCTAGACAGATAGCAAAGCTTCAACTGAACCAGCTCCGGGCATATGGCTTCACCTTGTATTCAACGTTCACGTATGAGTTTTGGCTTTACAGTTTCACTCAGACATTAAACACACCGGCATCTTTCCCTGCTGCAACTCTCCTGAATAACCATGACCAGAACTTTGTGCAGGAGCTATTCAATGACATGTATGGTGCTGGGGTTGATATCGAAAGCTTTTCCTCTTCCTTGGGGCCTGGCCAAATGGAGGTCTCCATCCGAGCTGAATTTGGAATGGGTGCAGCAGACAATGCCTTCACATTCAGGACTGGCGTCAAAGAGCTAGCAAGGAAACACAATAATGCTGCCAGCTTCTTCACACCCTCAGGTTTTGGCAACTCAGGCACGTTTTCCCATAGTCTGTGGGATGCTAATGGGAGGCAGAATCTCTTCTGTGATTCAACGGCAGCGCAAGAGCTGTCTGGCATTGGGAAGAGATGGCAGGCTGGCCTGGTGCAGCATGCCGCTGCCCTCAGCTGCCTGGTGGCACCTGGACCCCGTTGTCGCCAACGCTATAGTGCAGGGAAGCGTGAAGGGGTTGTTGACGTGACCTGTGGCACCAATGACAACAGCTGTGCCTTTAATGCCAAGTTCCACGGTGGTGGGGGTGCCCGTCTTGAAAACCGACTGGCATCAGCCATGGCAAACCCGTATGTCGTCCTCGCTGCCACTGTGGCTGCGGGCCTGGATGGCCTCAGGAGGGATTCCCCTGAAAACTCAACACAGGCTGCACCCATTCTTCACCCACTGAAACCCTGCAGCATTCCTGTTCGGTTGGAGGATGCACTCATTGCACTGGAACATGACTACTGCATTCGGAGGGCACTGGGTGAACCTTTCATCCAACATTTCATTGCTGTTAAACGGTTTGAATTGAAGACACAGACATTAGATGGTGAGAATGACAAGTACCTACAGTACTTCATTTAGTAAAATGGCCATAGCTGCATATGTTATATCACATGCACATTACCATGCTCCATGTCATACACAGCAAACAATATAGAATATATAGGTGCAACATATACAAAATACCACACACATAATACCATATAGCATATAATTGAGAGTACATACTTTAAAATATTTAAGAATATACATAAAAACCATATATCATCCATAGCATACCATGAACAACATGCTATGCATTTTACATCACACAGAGATTATATGTAATAATATATAAAATACACTATGTATTATATTTGATACATTACACTATGTAGTATTCATAATTTGTACAATATATTGTAACTAATTTATCACATGCCATATAGACAATTCATCTTAATAACAAGTTTTCAAAACTCTCCATTCACAAATTAAGTCCTCATTCTTTAAGTTGGGGTCCACTGGCACTGGCAGGAAGGGGTAAATCCTGACATTAAGAGTGCATACACCATTTGATTTAGTGTTGAATAATCTGGATAGTTAGCCTGATCCTTGGGAAGGAAATCATTTTCTTTTGAATCCTCCTCTGGTTTTGTTTTGGAGGCATAAAGTTGTGGATACTTATATAGTGCATCAGAATTTTGCATGATGTGATCTTTTAAATGGAGTTTGATCAATTAAGGAGATTGGAAAGCTTAGGTTTTATATTTTCCTTTCTAATTTACCTTGAAATTATTTTTAATTAAAGTGGGACTTTTCTTCCTTTCATACCAGGAGATATATGACAATCAGTAACCTATACCTTCCCCCGGGCGTTGAGTTTAATGAAACAGTTCTCAGGAGTAAACAGATGAGCATGGATGCCAGAAAGCGGGAATAGATTCCTCATTTAGCAATGTTTCTGAGTCTTGCCACCTTCCAAAAATGGTCAAATGAGATTAGAAATGCATGAGTTTTGTCGTGCTTTTTATGGAGAAAACAAGTCCCGAGGCATTTCTGTATCCTTGTATTGGCACAGCTTGATCACATATGGAGTCCTAACTCATGTTCAATCTTGGTATAGGTCATAGGAAGGAAAGGTGAGGTTTTGAGATACCATATTTGTGCAGCACTGGCAAAAATGAATTGCACAGAGGATCCTTCAGCCTCATTGAGTAGGTACTGAAATCTTTCCAGTTATCATCAGGGCAAAAGGCAACTGGATGGGTATATGAATAGAAAGGGTTCGGAGGGAAATAAGCCAGATGCTGGCAAATGGGACTAGATTTGTATAGGATATCTGGTTAGCAAAGACAGGTTGGACCGAAGGGTCTGTTTCCATGCTATGATTCTATGACTCAGAGAGTGCTGTGGAACGTATAGGGAGTTGGATAAATATCCTAAGCAGCTGACCGATTTTGTATATTCATTCTTGGTACATAGGCATCTCTGGCACTTATTGTCGATCTGTGGTTCACCTCAGAGGGAATTGGACCACTGATAACTTGCTTGCAATTGTCCAAGTAAGTTCTTTTCTGGAGTAAATAGGTGATTTATTTAAGTGCACAGCCTCTGTAATTTTTTTGTGTGTGGTAACTTAAAGGGGCAGCCTTTTGCACGGCCTGTTTGGGGACTGGCTGTTTGACTGACAGGAACAGAGAATGTTGCTTACTTGCCCAATCCAGAAGGCTGGCAAGTGTCAACAACATTGATGTGGAATGGAGTGAAAAATAAGCCCAGCTCAGACAAGGTCAGCCTGTCTCTTTCTTTGAAGGGTATGAACCTGTTGAGTGGAGGGGGGGTGGTGGCGGTGGGGTTGGTTATACGCTCACTTAACTCTTTATTTCAAGGTTCTTTGTTTAAAATGGAATTATAATTCTCATGCTGCAGTGACAGGATTTGAACTAACTGGATTGGCTTTTCCAATTCGGATTGTGATGCTAACATCAGCTTCCACTCTAGATCAACAATCTGGAAGTGGCTGATTGGTCTGGATTTTCCTGGAGATGCTCAATTAAGAACGATCTGAGGAAGGGTCACCGTACCCGAAACGTTAACTCTGTTTTTTCCTTCACAGATGCTGCCAGACCTGCTGAGCTTTTCCAGCAACTTTGTTTTAGATCATAGAAGACCAGTTTCTGATGAAGCTGAGATTAAATAGTAGGTTTTGATTTGAAGGACGTAGCCCTAGTTGATAAAGTTGTTCAAAAAAAGCACATGCAATGCTGAAATTTATAAAGAGAATCATTGGGTACACAAGGAAGGGAACTCACTAAACCATTCTGTAATACAGGTTAGGCCATAAATCAGGTATTGTGCTCAGTTCTAGGCTCAGTCTTTAGAAAGGATGTCAAGGCCTTAGAAAAAGTGCAGATGGGATTTAACATAAGATGGAGTTGAAATGAAAGACTTCAGATGGGTGGAGGAACTGGGATTGCTCTCCTTGGAGAAGAGAGGGCGAGAGAAGGGATAATAGAAGTGTTCAAAACCATGTGGGGTTTTGATATATTGGCAGGAGGATTAGTAAAGGGATTACAGAAGTTTAATAAAAAGAACCTGAGGGGCAACAAAGCTGTCTCTTTTAAAGCAGTGAAGTGTTTTGATCTGGAAACACTGTCTAACAGAATGAGAAAAGCAGATTCAATAGCAAGTTTCAAAAAGGACTCGGACAAAGATTCGAAGAGTAGTACTGTGGGAAAAATGCAGGAGTGGTAAGATTTATTGAATAGACCTTCAACACTTACAAGCTATCAAACAAGACCAAAGCGAAATAAGGATGGTTCTCTGCCTTCTCCAAGACATCAGTCACCACACAGCTTGAGCTGATAACATCTAGTCAGGTCCTCACAGTTCCAGCCAAAGAGCATAAAAACAAGGACTGACGATGCATTTCCACCTTCAGTAAAACACTACTATATTCTGTTGGACCTTCTTACAATCTTGCAAGTTTTTTAATTGTTCAGACTTTGGTCAGAATGAAAGATGTTTAGCTTGGTTAACTTCTGCGTGGTTAATGATTGTTGTACAATAAAATATGAACAGACTACAAGATGTATTAAAAGGGCTACGGTTTTGTTCTGCAAGTGTATGTGGTACATAATTTGTAATATATCCCCCTTTTGGTATATTTCTGCGTGGTGATAAAAATCTCCATGTTATAAGCCTTTTCTATTTTGTCAGAAGTCACATGACACCAGGTTATAGTCCAACAGATTTAGCTGAAATTACAAGCTTTCTGAGCACTGCTCCTTCGTCAGATGAAGTCTTCAAGGATCAGCGCTCTGAAATCTTGTGATTTCAAATAATCCTGTTGGACTATAACCTGGTGTTGTGTGACTTCTGACTTTGCCCACCCGAGTCTAACACCGGCACCTCCACATCATTTCTATTTTGTCGTATATTTTTAAGTTGTGGTATTAAGTTGTGATATGATATGTTTCTGCAATGTGTTGTGTTTTGTTTGCCTTTGTCCACATTGGGATCTCCATTTGTCAGATAATCAGAGGTTACAAGCACAACCTAGCTGCAGTAAGCTGTGCATAACATAAACAACTTGTGTCAGCATGCAGCTGTAAGCTATTAGGCAATGAACATAAAATGCTTTGGACATGAAGATTGAAAATACAGCTGTAAGTAGAGGGCAGCACCTTGACAGAGTCTTGGTAGTAATGTCTCATAGAGAAGCTAATAGAAGGACATTCACAGAACAGACATCAACAGCAAGCACAATCTTTACCGTCAGTCTGCAAAGGAGTATTTCAAACAAAGACTCCAATAGGTGCCAATAGAAATGATAGGAACTATGAACATTTCTGCTGCTTTGATTGAGCATTAAGTAGGGATGTGTTGAGGCTGACTTACGGTAAATTAAATTGCAGATACATGAGATTGAGAAAGTATGGAGGGAGGAATCAATTTGCATTCAAATAGCATCTTTCAAGACTTCAGGATGTCCAAAAGCATCTTCCAAAAAATGAAGTATTTTTGAAGAGTAATCACTGTTATCATAGAGAAAATATTATGCTCAATGTTCTTACCGACTGCAATGTGATAATGACCAGATTAGTGCTCTTCAACATTGGTTGTTGGTGGATAAATATTTACTGGAACATAAGGGAAGACAATCCTGTTCCACTTCCTAATTGTGTTGTGGGATCTTTAACTTCCGCCTAGTCAAAAGGTTGACTTTGCCTGAGAATCTGAGCTTGCATCATTTCCATTCTCCAGTCATCCCTGTACTTGACCCCAGTCTAAAACACCTCAACTTAAAATTCTCCCCCTTGCCCTCAAACCCCTCTGTGATCTCCACCCTCCACTACTACTGGAACCAACTGCTTCCCTCACCCGTTTCATCCCTCCCCCACTGCATTTACTATACTTTGTCAAAATTTTAATTAGTCAAATAGAAGAAAGGAAGGGTGGATCCTGCTTATCCTGACAACCTCCACACCAACCTAACAACCTTGGATCTGACACACCCTGTTCAAAATCCCTTCCTAACCATCAACCATAATCCCATCCTGGCCTGACATCTCTGAACTCCATTATCTCCTTACTCCACTCTCTGCAAACCAGTCATTCTCACTCCCAGACTTCATACTACCGTCCACCCTCTGAGTCAACACCAACCTGATACGCCTTCACCTGACACTGAGCCGGTCTGAACTGACATCTTTCCCTCATCAAATCGTTCACCACTCCCACTCCTGCCCTGATCTTTGACCTACCCTAAACGTTAACTCACTTACCTGGCACCCTACCTACCTGCTCCCAACTCACTTCACATACTTGGCACCTTGGCCATCTGGCACTCAACCTACTGGCACCCTATTCCTTCTCAACAAACCCTATCCAACTGGCACCCTATTTCCTAATGCACCCACCAACCTTACACCACACTTAGCTTACATCCTTATTGTTTCACAGGAACTATAAAAGTCGCTGTTTTTGCTGCTGGATATTTAATTCACAGAACATGACACACTGGCTGCTGCAAAAAGGGAATATGGCTACAATGATCTTCTTCCAGGAGGCCCCAGCTCCAAATTTCCAGGGCTGAAGTCAGTAAAGGGGAAATGGTAAAATGTTAACCCCATGGTCAAAAAATATCTGAGCTACGGTTACGTAGGCAAATAATTGAGGAAAGCCAGCATTTTGTTAAATCTTGTTTAAGTAACTTGATTGAGTTTATTTGATAAGGTAACAGAGTGGGTTGATGATAGTAATACAGCTGAAGCAATGTACATGGATTTTAA